GAAAGTTTTCAAGTGCTTTGAGGTGACTCCTGTATGTGACCCATGTCTCACTGCTATATAGCTGTACTGTACATGTACTCAAAATAATGTATTAAGTGATTACTAAAATTTTTGTCAAGTGCAAACTATAGCATGATCATATTCAAATTAATCACTATCTTATAAGAATTCTAGCAATGTAAATTATATTCTCTCCGGTCACTTCTGTGACATTTTATAAGCAAAAAACATAAACTCAATCTAAAGGACATAAATAAATACTTCACTAGACCTTCGGCGCCAACTGTCAAACATGCCACTGTCACCCCCCCCCCCCTGTATAATATGGACACGAAGTAGTACCTTAAGATGTGTATTCTTATATTACTCTATTAATTGTGTATAGTAAAGTATTACAGAACATGTATTAATCCTATGTAATGTTTCCATTTATTATGCACCATGTTATGTATATGAATTATCATATTTACATTTTATGTATTCAGCTTGTGAATGCTGGCATCTGTACATGCCAGCGCGGAGTGATACAAAGAGTGGAGACCACCAGTCCTTATGGTGTGGAAGCGAGTTTTTTGTCCATCTGTATTCATCTCCCGTATGAGAATAAGAACCTATTATCAAGATAACAAGTGTTTGTGTATACCCTCAGTAGTGTAGAACATTTTGGGGGTACCAAAGACAAACATAGATGGCACAGTGAGATTTCTCAGTGAGATTCATATATTTTGCACAAAAGATAAAATTTTTGCTCTTTCTAATAAAATTCGTAAATTAGATCTAAAATTTGTATGTCTAATGCAAATTTTAGGATGTTTATATTTAAATTAATCACCATCTTATAAGAATTCCAGCAATTTAAATTATATTCTGGCCGGGTAATTTCTATGAATTTTCTGAGCTGAAAACAAATATCTTCAGTAAATAAACAAATTATACTTCACCCAGACACTATCTGTCAATCAAAATACCCCACCTCCCCCCCTCTTCCCATGCTCGCTGGGTCCCTCCCTCCCTCCCTCCCTCCCTACCAGAGAAATGTTTGGGGAAATCACTAGGCTTACATGTTTAGTAATAAATAATTCCTCAGACTAAAGTTAGGATAATATAATTGACATTGCTGGATTCCTTGCAAGACTGCCAATAATTTGAATATAAATGTCATATACTTTGCACAAAAGAAAATTTTTGCTCTTTTTAATAAAATTCTTAAATTAGATCTAAAATTTGTATGTCTAATCTAAATTTTAGGATGTTTATATTTAAATTACCGTATATACTCGTGTATAGTTCGAGTTTTTAAGACCAAATTTTTAGGCAAAAAATTGGGGGTCGTCCTATACATGCGTAATAGTTTTGTTAGGTTGAACCCGTGCATGATGGGAAGGGCGAGGAGCAACTTTTAGCTTCAGACATGAAAAATATTCACCATTTACTGCCAGTAAACAATGGAAACGTAAAATATGTACCAATTAGTAATGAAAAGTTGTGCAGTTCCTTCAGCAAATGAAGCTCACCAACTTACAATAGGCTAAATTACCTTACAATGTGCTTTCAGTAGTCTATGTTGAAGTTCTTAGCACAGGCTAACTTATAATATCATATACGGTATCACAGTTCTCATTGATCTACAAAAAATACCGGTAATAAAAACCTTTTCGATATTTCACACTTAATATAATACCCGGTAATCTACTTCAACCTTCTATTGTTTACAACGACGCATCACTCACCACCAATTGTATCACCTAGACGGTACACGTGTTTTTCGAATCGTTTTCAGTTAAAAACCTGTTACATCACATGTATATTTTACCTTAACTGTGCCTGAATGAATATATTCTCGGAAATAAATAGTAGTTTTGTTGAAACGTGATATATTTTAATGTAAAATAGGATAAAATACATGACGAAAACAAAAGATTTTACCTAACCTTCCGATGTTCAAGAGAAGTTACTTGGTTTTTTAATAGTTTTTGATTAAAATATTGTTATATTACAATGGTATTCTATTCATACTGTGCTTGATATAATGCATTCACGGAAATGTAATATTTTTACTGAAATGACGTACGTATTACACTGGAAAGTGGGATAAAATCGTGACGAAAACAATGACTTTCGCTTTCTTTCGTTCAAAAGATGTTACCGTAATCACTTTTCGAATGGTTTTCAGTTAAAAAACTGTTGTATTACGATAATATGCTATCCTAATTGACTTGAATAAATACTACGATACCATATTTCTGAATATTTTCATTAAAATCCATCAAAATCATTTTTCTTGTCATCGTCTGCAGCACCAAACAGCTTCTCCCAGTCCTCTCCTTGAACAGGGCTACAGGGTACGTGTTTTTCGAATCGTTTTCAGTTAAAAAACTATTACATCACACGTATATTTTACCAAAACTGCGTCTGAATGAATATATTCTCGGAAATAAATAGTAGTTTTGCTGAAACGTGATGTATTTCAATGTAAACTAGGATAAAATACATGACGAAAACAAAAGACTTTACCTAAGCTTCTGTTCTTGAGATGTTACTGGTTTTTTAATAGTTTTCGGTTAAAATACTGTTATATTACAATGATATTCTATTCATACTGTGCTTGATATAATACATTCACGGAAATGTAATATTTTTGCTGAAATTACCGTATATCACGGCCTATAAGGCGGCGGGGTGCATAAGACGCCCCCCCCAAATTTCCATTTAAAAAGTAGCTTTTGAGCTCTATTTGCTGTATAAGACCAGTACCCCAAATGTGACACTTACCCACTGACTCAGTAGTCCTTTACCAACCATCCTTGATTTTTTAAAATAAGGCCAATTCACTTCAAGTAATGTCATCAAATTATACCCGCTGGTGTAGTGTAAACACTAGTGACGTCACTGAAGCGTGTTGGGAGTGTTCCCTCGTCTCGGTGGTGTGACTATTTATACAACATGTGGTTCAACAGCAACCACCGTATTCTAATTGTGGTGTTTCATTAGGATTTGAGTGAAAAAGGTTACCAGTATGTACTTACTACATACATTTATTACACAAATATATATATATATATATATATATATATATATATATATATATATATATATATATATATATATATATATATATATATATATATATATATATATATATATATATATATATATATATATATATATATATATATATATATATATATATATATATATATATATATATATATATATATACTGAATATACTATGTACAAAAAATGAATGTTCAATGAATTATTTATGGTGCATTAGGGTACTGGTCACTTCTGATGGGCTATAAATAGCCTTCTTTATCTCCCCTACATCTCACCCTGAGCCAGACGGAAGGGTCTTGGTAAATAACATGTTTGCTTATTTTCCATTTACTTTAAATAGATTTACCGAATTATTTGTTTTATTTATTTATTTATAATATACTGTAATATATTAAACACACTGTAATTATTTTCTTTAATTTATAAACTGTTTTGCGACAAAGGAATGTTCTCCAGTAGTGTTTCATTAGGATTTGAGTGAAAAAATATTACGTACTTACACAATTGTTCCTCTTACTTTGACAACACAACATACATACAGTATATTATTTCTCAGTTTTGATCTTTTTTTTTAATTTTTGTATTTATTTATAGTTAGTTACTTAAAATAAGGCCAATTCACTTCAAGTAATGGCATCAAATATTACCAGCTGGTGTAGTGTAAACACTAGTGACGTCACTTGAGCGTCTGTAATTAACCGTCGATAGTTTCAAGAATTAATGCACTCATTTACTGAATATTCTTTGGAAAAAAATAAAATTTAAATCAATTATTTATAGGAGATAAATATTATTATGAGTAAATATACCGATACCGGTATGCATTACTGACCACCTCCACGGCTCCTCACTGGCAAATGGGGGGGGGGGCGTGGGGAGGGGTGTGTGATGATAGCTGTGTTTATTATAGGGGTATAAATCTCTTTTACGGTATGTTAGACAGGTTTATAATACATTTTTATTATTTTAATATACCGGTAATCTTAATTTGAATCCAGCTTGCCAAACGTAAGTTTCAGTATAAAATAATTAGTGGTAAGACCTTGTGAGTGGCTTACGATGTTTTCATCACCACTCTTGACACACTAAACCACAATATTTAAGAGGTAAGAATTTTAAACTTGGTGGTTTAGACGACCCCCTAACTTTGGGCAGATTTTTTTAATGTTCAAATTTCGTCTTATAGGCCGTGATATACGGTACGTACGTATTACAGTGGAAAGTGGGATAAAATCGTGAAGAAAACAATGACTTGCTTTTTTTCGTTCAAAAGATGTTACCGTAATCGCTTTTCGAATGGTTTAATTAAAACTGTTGTATTACAATAATATTCCCTCCTAATTGACTTGAAGAATAAATACTTGAATGGAAATGTACAATATTTTTGTTGAAACCACCTGCGTTTCAGTGTAAAGTGTCGTAATAATAAATGGTAAACAATTTGCCTTCGGCACTCGTGTTTCAGGCACGGCGAGCCTCAGTTTATAGGACGTAGAGCGTTTTTAGTGAAGGTTTTGTTGTTCCATTACCCTCAAAAACGTGGGTCGAACTATAAACGAGGAATATCGTAAATTAACTATTTCTTGGTCAAAAATTCATGGTCGACCTATGAACGAGGGGGGGTTATAGACGAGTATATACGGTAATCACCATCTTATAAGAATTCCAGCAATGTAAATTATATTCTGGCTGGGTAATATCTATGAATTTTATGAGGTAAAAACAAATATCTTCAGTAAATAAACAAATTATACTTCACCCGCGTAAATGATGAAATTTACCGCGTACTTAAAACATTTCATTCTGGTAAGGTGCCGCGTAAATGACCAAACGCGTAAACAAAAGCCGCGTAAATCCAGACTATACTGTATTTAGTTTATGTAACCAATTTGCATTCTACAAAAAGTTATGTGCGTCTTATCTTATTTTTCTTATTACACAGAATGCAAGATCCTAATGTTCAGAATCATCTAGCAGCAAGTTGGGATGATCAGCGTAGATCAGCGAAGAAGCTCTTCTCTTCCTTCAACTACTCCACCTTGCCAGTAAAGCAGGAGTTAACGTCCTCCTTGGTAACCAGCAATGGGTTCACCGAGGAGAGTAAATGCTCTACCACCAAAAGCAAGTGAGATGATTCTTTAGTTAATTTTGTGTTGTAGTGTCACTTTCATTGGGTAAGTAGTCGTAAAGGATTTCACTAGCTCTAGATTAAGGCATTTTTAAGGCGATTCACAATTTTTTTTGGGTATATTGTACCAGTTGCCCCTTCCACTACTGTACACTGACCTTTCTCCCTTGTAATTTGCACAACAGTTGGTTGCTGGAAACAAGAAGATTGTATGTGAGCTGAGTTTACTCAGTCAGCACACACCATGCCAGTATGTACAGTCGGCCCTTAACATACGCGGGGGTTAGGTAACAGAGATACCCGTGAACGGTAAAAATCCATGTACTTTTGCTGCTGGCCTTCGGTGATCAAAGAACATGGTGATGGGGAGTTGTCGTCTCTTTCTTTTCATTTCTTCCATGATGTTTTTGTATGGAGCAAAAACGTCATCCATCCCTCGCATGAATTTCAGGGCACGCACCATGGAGGGGTCCATACTATAGGCCAGGTTTTTCAGTGCCTCAATATTCCTGGTCATCTCCTCCAACTTCTCCAACGTTATTTCTTGGTGCTCTTCCTCTTCCTCATCCTCTTTCCCTTTTGCTTCCTCTTCCTTACCTGAGTCTACTAACTCCTGTAGATCCTCCTCGGTCAGCTCAGTGTCGTGCTCTTCAATTAGCTCCCTAATCTCGTCCTCTGCCATGTCCCGGAAGCCTTCAGCAGCCACTTTCCTTGACAGTGCCAGGGTCTTTCTGAATATTTTCATTAAAATCCATCAAAATCATTTTCCTTGTCATCGTCTTAAGCACCAAACAGCTCCTCCCAGTCTTCTCCTTGAACAGGGCTAGAGGGTACGTGTTTTTCGAATCGTTTTCAATTAAAAAAATGTTACATCACATGTATATTTTACCTAAACTGTGCCTGAATGAATATATTCTCAGAAATAAATAGTAGTTTTGCTGAAACGTGATGTATTTCAATGTAAAATAGGATAAAATACATGACGAAAACAAGAGACTTTACCTAACCTTCCGATGTTCAAGATGTTACTCGTTTTTTTAGTAGTTTTCGGTTAAAATAGTCTTATATTAGTGATATTCTATTCATACTGTGCTTGATATAATACATTCATGGAAATGTAATATTTTTGCAACTACAATGCTGATGTCAACACAAGCGTGGTTACAGCGAGACTGACTGAGTGAAGGAGAGCTATGCGTGTGTGAGGTTGCGGGAGCGGGCGGTGTCCCGTGTTCGGTGCCGCGCACGAGTTGAATGGCGCACGATTTGAATGTACTTCAATTACTTCAATGTACAGAATATTCCTCCGGCAGGGCAATCCGCGTATTTGCAAATCCGTGAATGCTAAGCCCGCGTATGTGAAGGGCCGACTGCATTTCCATCAGTTACATTTACTGTAGAGTGCAGGCATGAGCGAAAATATTTATGGTTAGCGAGAACGTGTATAAACTTTTATTTACAGCATCTGTTCTGATTGTATTAAGAGAGATGAATTTGGTACCATAATGATCCTGAATAAATTCTATAAGACTGTTTCAATAAAAGATCCTTAAACAAAATGTTTTGGCATGATATAATGATGGGAACTCCGTTCGTTTATGAAAAAAATATATAAATAATAATATCAGAGTATAAAATCAGTTCTAATAAAATATGAAATGCCAATTTTTTTTATCCTTTTACCCAAATAATCCAGAATATTTTATCTAAAAATTTAGTTAAATAAATATACGGTGATATTTCCATTAGCCGGAACAATTAGTATTGGTGGAGAGATTTCCGGGTAACAAGACAACTCTCTCCAACCCAGAAAAAATTTCCCCATCCGGAATTTTTCTGGGTATAGGCCCCCTTAAATTCGCGGGGATTAAGTTCGCAAAGTGGCCGTGCATCGGCAAATCTGCGAATAACATTTGCTGACTGCCGGGAGTGGGGGGGGGGTTGTACGGTACATGTTTACTTGTGTACAAAGAAATGTATATTCCCTTTATGTGTTTGCCCTTAGGACAATTATTTCTTTTACCTGTAGTATTGTATATGCATGTGTGTGTGTAGACACATACATACAACTAAATAATAATGGAAAATACTCTCACAAATAATCAGAAACAAATTTATTAAAATTGTGACAGTCTACCCTCAAGTCCGTGCTCTATTAATAAAGTAATAGAGCACGGACTTGAGGGGAGACTGTCACAATTTTAATAAATTTGTTTCTGATTATTTGTGAGAGTATTTTCCATTATTATTTATTCGTATGTGTTTTGTGTGTGTCTACACACACACACACACACACACACACACACACACACACACACACATATTTACAATACAGTGGTCTCTCGGTTAACGAACGGTTCGATTAACGAAATTTCGGTTAACGAATTAGCTTCCATAAGGATTTTCAGTTCGATTAACGAAATCCTTACGACAAACACGTTTAGTTGTGCGCATCAGCTGATCTGCTAGTCCGCCAATACAGTAATGGGTTACATGTTTACATTCGCTTTCAGTGAAGTAAAAATCAAGAAAGTTGGTCTCTTGAATATTTATGACATTTATATAAAGACTAAGGAGCTAATGCAGAGTGTTGGTGGTGGTGGGGAGTGTTGGTGGTGGTGGGGAGTGTTGGTGGAAGTGGAGAGTGATGGTGGTGGTGGGGAGTGTTGGTGGATTTGTTTAGGGTGTAGAAGCTGTCACCAACACAGCAACCACACCCTGAGTGAAAGAGCTGCATGACCCAGTGTCAAGGAATAATCTGAGAAGACCGGACAACCCACCAACTGCACTGGTTAACCATTACCTCGGAACACGATCCGCAAATCGATTAACATCCAGGTTCCCAATTGCTGCTGGGTAGACAGAGGCAAATGGCCCAAAGAAACTTGCCCATAGTTTCACCCTGAATGGGGATCTAACTCAGGACCGCTCTCTTGCTAGGCGAGCATGCTGAACACAGAGGCATAACTGAATGGAAGCTGGGGAAAGAATTCTAACTGGGCAGCACCATTGTTGTGGTGCTGGGGAGGTGAGCCACCCTCCAACCATCTTGTAACTACCACCAAGAATCCACACAAAATAAATTGTAAAATTTGGTGAATATCTTTGTTATACATCGCGAATTTTTTGTTTGGAAATTTAAAACAAATTTACGAAAGGACTAATTTTTTGGCCGTATCACAAATTTTTGGGTCATATTTTCATAATTCTGTAAGGGCGAATTTCCTTAACCTGTTTTTCTGTAGTGCAAGGGATGATTGTACAGTACTATACTGTACATATGAAGGCAGGACTCGTACAGGGACTGAGATAGTAAGACAAGTGCTGCACAACACTCACACTCTGACTTTCAACCACATATACAAAGACAAACTGTGCAAACTGATGCTGGATTTATCTAGATTTTTTCCCATGATGAATAGAGAAGCAGGTCAGAGGATCTCAGAGTCCAAAAAAACAAATTACAAATATTGAAGTCCAATTTATCGAGGGTTTACTGTACAGTCGGCCCTTAACATACGCGGGTTTAGCATACACGGATTTGCAAATACGCGGATTGCCCCGCCGGAGGAATATTCTGTACATTGAAATAATTGAAGTACATTCAAATCGCGCGCGGCACCGAACACAGAACACCGCCCGCTCCCGCAACCTCACACACACACGCATAGCTCTCCCTCACTCAGTCAGTCTCGCTGTAACCACGCTTGTGTTGACATCAGCATTGTAGTTGCAAAAATATTACATTTCCGTGAATGTATTATATCAAGCACAGTATGAATAGAATATCACTAGTATAACAGTATTTTAACCGAAAACTATTGAAGAAACGAGTAACATGTCTTGAACATCGGAAGGTTAGGTAAAGTCTTTTGTTTTCATGTAGTTTATCCTAATTTACATTGAAATACATTACGTTTCAGCAAAACTACTATTTGTTTCTGAGAATATATTCATTCGGGCGCAGTTTAGGTAAAATATACATGTGATGTAACATTTTTTTAACTGAAAATGATTCGAAAAACACGTACCCTCTAGTCCTGTTCAAGGAGAAGACTGGAAAGAGCTGTTTGGTGTTGAAGACGATGACAAGGAAAATGATTTTGATGGATTTTAATGAAAATATTCAGAAATATGGTATCGTAGTATTTATTCAAGTGAATTAGGATAGAATATTATTGTAATACAACAGTAGTGACGATGTGGAGGAGGCGGAGGGATAGAGCGGGGAGGAGGTGACTGGCGGGAGCAGGGACGAGTGGAGATGCCAGCCAGTACATTACGGGTGTATTAATTGTTTTTATAGCTATTTTTGCATTTTAATAGTAAATACTATACATTACGTTTCAACAAAACTACCATTTATTTCTGAGAACATGGAAATGTAATATTATTGTTGAAATGATGTGCGTATTACAGTGGAAAGTGGGATAAAATTGTGACGAAAGCAATGACTCTCTTTCGTTCAAAAGATGTTACTGTAATCGCTTTTCGAATGATTTTCAGTTGTGGGATTATAAGGCTAATGATAGGATAGAATATTATTGTAATACAGTATGAGTACAACAGTTTTTTAACTGAAAACCATTCGAAAAGCGATTACGGTAAAATCTTTTGAACAACGAAAGAAAACGAAAGTCATTGTTTTCGTCATGATTTTATCCCACTTTCCACTGTAATATGTACGTCATTCCAGCAAAAATATTACATTTCCATATTTATTTCCGAGAATATATTCATTCAGTCACAGTTAAGGTAACATATACTTGTGATGTAATATTTTAATGAAAATACGGTATCGTAGTTTTCTTTTGTTTCAAATTTAATTAACAAAGATTGATGTTTCAAATGTAATGAACAAAAATATATGTACAGTATCTATAAATACACTTTAATAAATAAATACTTTATGTTTTACATCGTCCTGTGCTACCATACCATGGATTTGGCTACTTTGGGCTTGCTATGATGACGCAAGAGATCTGCCCTGGCAACTGTACCGACACTCACAGCTGGTGGTGCGTTGGTGCATTGTTTCCATTGTTTACTGGTAGTTACTGGTAAATATTTTTCAACCTAACGAAACTATTACCCGTTTAGAGGTCGACCCCCAATTTTTGGCCAAATAATTTGGTCTTAAAAACTCGAACTACACACAGGTATATACGGTAAATAAGGACATGGGGGGCCAGGGTTGTTTTTTTTTGGGGGCAGCAAAAATACGTGGATTTTTAACATCCACGGGTATCTCTGTTACGTAACCCCCGCGTATGTTAAGGGCCGACTGTATTTGTAAAAATAAAGCTTAATTTTGGAAGGTAGAATGACAAGATGCTTCTTATGAATACTGGTTTATTAGATATTTGGGGGCCTTCTTGTGTTAGGAAACACCTAAAATAAAAAGGGCAGGAGGTGGTGGTGGAAGAGTAAATAATACTGAAAACTGTATTATGTGATATTGATAATGCCTGCCATGAGATTTTTTACTTTATTTTTTTTAAGTCCTTAAGATAGTCATATCCATCCATTTTCTTATTATAAACTATGTAACTATTAGTGAATTGACTTTTTTGACTATTGCAGATAATGGAGGAGATAGGAAGTGTAGTGTACAGTGACGTGGAAATCTCTTCGACTCAGGGTCATTCTGCTGCGTAAGGGCTGCACCCAAGTACAAAAGTGTGTAGATGGCACCACTGAGGCACTGCAGGGGCCTACCACCACTGCCAGTACAACTTTGTGGCCCAGGAGTTGCTGCACATTTTTAATTATATAGGTTTACCAATTTTGATATGTATTGATAATTGGTAGAAGCAGTGCACAAGATTGTGAGGCAACTGTATGGAAGAGTTTTTAATTTCATGAGAGGTTTAGAACCATATTGTTGTAGGTGACTTCAAGTCTCACAGACTTGCAAGGATGTACCATTTGATGACTTGTGATTACCTTAGCTCTAGTAAGTTTCAGGAGTTATCTGGTTGTCAGAATGGTTTCCAAGATCTGGTTTTAAGTGTTAAAAGGCTGTATTGTGCTATTTTCCAATTTTTATTTATAGAAATTCAAAAAGTATAGGTGGCATTAAAGGTCACCAATGTAGGGAATAATATATATGTGTGTGTTTAACATTAGATATCAAAATGTGTCTTTAGAGCATGGTCACTTGCTATCAGCCATAATGAATTGTTGGGAATATTTTTTTTCCTCAAAATAAAAATTAATATTTTGAGTTCCCTGCTTTAGACTTACTTCATATTTTATTTATTATTATTATTATTTTTTTTTTAAGTACCAGTAAGTATAGAATCACATAAAGAAGAGTACCCAGATGATTAGGCAGAAAAGGTTGGGTAGTTAACATCCCCACAGTCGATGGCTTAATCACACCTGGACCAACACCCTGTGTGTCTTAAGGCCATACAAGTAACCAAAAATATGGATTTCACATATATTTTGTTAAAGTAATTTCCTATCCAGTGTTTTTAACATCTTTAGGGTAAAGTGTCCTTTGCAGTCAGATAGAATGCATTTTTTGGTATAAATGGAAATTCTTACAATTTATATTATTTATATCTCCATGTAAATGGTTTTTAAATCTTTTGTTGTTATTTAGAAGTCTATTCTGGAGATGCTTTCAACCCAGTCAATATGTTACAGAATCTGTGTGTGCTCAAGTTGTGTGTTTGTGTATACAGCATGAGTAAGAGTACTAGTGATGTAAATGTGGAGTATATGAGGTGATAGCAGTGCACTGTATTTATATTGTGAGAGTATCAGTGCATCTTGTGAATACGTCCCTGTTCTTCAGTAAGTGGTGGATTACATGTGATATATCAAGGCTTGACCACCTTCATCAAGGAAACCAATCTTGATGATAGTCAGTTTGATATATTCTTTGTTATGATCATTTCCTCACTCAAATGTGTGTGAATAGCAAATTCCTGTATCTTAACCAGTCAGTGTGGATAATCAAGATAAACTTAACCCATTATTTGATATTAACTTTAATGTGGTTAAGATTTTTATGGATAATTTACTCTTTAAATTCGTTCATAGAAATGTTTTATGTTGGGATTTGTTAGGTAATTTGAATCATCAAGTGGTTCGATATTAACTATTGAGTTAAATTGTGTAAAAGTTTATTTTGTGGAACATGTCTTACCTTCCAGTACTGGTGACTATTTACAATAAAAAAATTTTATATTCTTAATTTCTTTTATTGGAGTGATATCATCAATCAACTGAGAAAGGCCTAATGTGAGTAGAGTACAGGACATGCAAGAAGTGGCCAGACACACTTCATCGATGCTCCTTCAGAGAAAAACTGTCTATCTACAGTGGAAATGATTGTCATTATGGTGGGCCAGTACAGTAATATCCTCTGACAATAAAATATGAAGAGGTGGCAAGTTTGTAGATAGGAAGACCATTGTTCAAATAACTAATGGGGGCTGAGACATGTAGGCAACAGTAAGATCAGAAAGGAATCAGTTTAGCTAGCCATGGGGCTGGCAGCATCAGGAGAAACCAAATACTTAGTTATTTTACTTCAGTGTCCAATATTCTCCACCACTCACCACCACTTATTTTGTTTGAAGCAAGAATCTTCCATTTGTGGAGGCCAAAAGTGCTAAGATCTTATGGACAACACAATGGACTCAATTATTTTTATAGTTGTGACATTTGATGGACTGTACAATAGTAAGAATGAAATAATTTTGTTTTGTCAAGTGAAAAGATTTTCTATGTTAATGTAGTACAGTACAGGTAGTCCCCGACTTACGACTGACTCAACTTACATCAGTCCGCACTTACGACCTGCTCTGACCGTACGACTGTCCGCACTTACGACCGCCGCAGTCGTGACCAAATTTTTTTTCAAAAAACGCGCGCATTTTCTATACCGAAACGTTTCCGTCCTGAGCGAGAGCGTGGCTGGCTTGGGTCACCGCGTGGTTACACTCACTCAGTACAGCGCTTAGTTGGTGTTTGGCTATCGTATCCTATACTGATCGCTCTGTGTACTTACTTTATTACCGTATTTAATTGACTTTATAATGACTGGAAAGCGTACAAGTGAGAGTGCTGGTGGTGCTCCGAAGAAAAGGAGACGGGCAATTACTTTTGAGATGAAAATGAAGATAATAACTCAGCATGAAAATGGAAAGACTGTAGCAACAATCTCACGTGACCTAGGTTTCTCACACTCGACCATATCCACTATTCTGAAGGACATGGAACGTATTCGTAATGTAGTGAAAGGAACAACACCAATAAAGGGAACTATAATTTCAAAGAAAAGACAAGGTCCTATTCACGATATGGAAAAATTATTGGTGATATGGATAGAAGACCAAACACAGAAGAGTGTACCCTTAAGCCTTCTAACCTTACAGGCTAAAGCAAGAAGCCTGTTCCAAAGCCTGAAGGAGCAGGCAGGAGATGAATGTGAGCAAACCTTTACAGCAAGTCATGGGTGGTTTAATAGATTTAAAAAATGCTACAGTTTACACAATGTTAAGGTGAGTGGAGAGGCAGCTAGTGCTGATGTTGGTACTGCCGAAACTTTCAAGGAGGAGTTAGTTGATGTGAGTGTGGAAGGGAATTATTTGCCTGAGCAAATATACAATGTGGATGAGACTGAATTATTGTGGAAGCGCATGCCTGAGCGGACATACATCCACAAAGAGGTGAAAACAATGCCAGGATTCAAGGCATTCAAGGACAGAATTACACTTCTGTTGGGGGGGAATGTTGCTGGTTTCAAGCTAAAGCCCTTCATGATCTATCATTCAGAGAACCCCAGGGCTTTTAAACATGTCAGCAAGCACACACTGCCAGTGTTTTATCGCAGTAACAAGAAAGCCTGGATGACCTTAGCACTGTTTGAGGATTGGTTCATGAATTGTTTCATTCCATGAGCCAAGGAGTATTGTCTGCAACAACGGATTCCATTCAAGATTTTGCTGATTTTGTATAATGCTCCGGGACACCCACCACACCTGGACGACATGCACCCTGATGTTAAGGTAGTCTACATTCCACCTAACACTACCTCTATCATCCAACCCATGGATCATGGTGCTATTGCTGCCTTTAAAGCGTATTATTTATGTAAGACCTTCGCTCAGGCTGTTGCTGCTACTGCAGGTGAGAAAACGCTCAGAGTTTTGGAAGGAATACAACGTTTTGTCATGTATAAAGAACATTAGTGCAGCATGGGATCAGGTTACAAAATATTGCATGAATGGAATATGGAAGAAAATCCTGAAAAGATATGTGAACAGTTTTAGAGGATTTAATGAAAATGAAGTTATTTCGGATATTAGTAACAAGATAGTGAAGTTAGGTAAACAGCTGGAGTTAGAAATCGATAATGAAGATGTTGAACAGTTGGTTGAAAGTGTAGCAGAAGAGCTCAGTAACGAAGATCTCATCGAACTGGAAGCACACAAAGATGCAGAGGAAGAAGCCAGTCTAAATGTAGAAGAAGGACCTGCACCTCCTAAAAAGTTTTCAGTGAAGCAAATGGCAGAGGCATTTGCTACAATTAATAAAGGAATGCAAATGTTTGATGGCATGGATCAGAATTATGAGCATTATGCCAAAGTTGACAGAATGATCCAAGATGCACTTGCTTGCTACAGAGAAATTTATAATGAAAAGAAAAAGCAAACTGTGTAGTCTAAATTGGACATCTATTTTAAGAAGTCCCCCAGTGCTGTCTCATCACGCCCCACCAGTGCTGCCTCTTCACTCCCTCAAGATGATCCATTACCTTCAACCAGCAAGTTTCCACAGTACATAAACCTGTCTGAAGAAAGTGACATTGATGACCCACCCAGCTCTGTCTCCTCCTCTGCTTCATCCAATTAATATAGTCTCCAGGTATACCTGTAAATAGAAAATTATGGGGGCCCTGTGAGCATTCAGCTGACTACATTAAAGGTAAGTGCTCAGTTACACTGTATCTATTCCTCATTATTTATTACTTTTACTGTACTGTATCTATTCCTCATTATTTATTACTTTTACTGTACTGTATTTCATTGTAGATTTTTTTTTTTTTTTTTAATCTATGTCGGACTTACGACCATTCTGACTTACGACCTGGATTTGGGTCCCTAACCCCGTCGTAAGTCAGGGAGCACCTGTATAGTGTAAAAAACACATGTAGTGAAGCAAAAGCCCTTCCCACCTTTGGTGTACATTGTCTTGCATATCTTTAGTTAGACCCACTCAAGTCAGTAATTCAGTTTATGGTGGTCCTTGGAACAGCCTGTGTACCGGTGAATTGATGATGTTGGCAGAATCAACACAAGAGGGTGAATTTATATCTGGCCATTTACAATTTTTCATATGAATAAATTCACCCATGAAAATCCATAAACATAGACTTCAAATATCAGTCGGGAAGGAAGGATATTGTTGAGTGCATATATACCGTGATATCCCCATTAGCCAGAACAATTGGTGCAGAGCTCTTCTGGGGATGAAAGATTTCTGGGTATCGAGGCTACTCTCAAACCCGGAAAAATCCCACATTGGGGCAATTTTTCCCATAAGAACTTATGTAAATGGGGGTAAATGCGTTCCCAGCCTCCAACTTTTATCACATATCTTTTGATATGTATACTCTTCATTATCCAAGGCTATTAGGGACCAGGGTCATGTGTATCCTGTAGTAACAGTTAGTGTGAGGAATAAATAAAAAATTATACTAATAGCTAAAATAAAAGAAAAAATACTGCATTGCCAGTTGGCAATAATTTCACGACACATGGGGGATGGAGGGGCTGAGATCACCACCACTCCCTCCTCCCACAGTTCAGGTGACTCACATGGTATTAAGAAATGTTTTTATTATCTTTATGTTTTTGACTTTATGATAATCATTTCTTAAATTTTATTTTGCACATTCTCTATGAAGATTACGTGCATGTAACAGTAAAAAAAATAAATAAATAAGAAAATTAGTATATCTACCCAAAAATACGCGTTGAAAAATAAAAATTCCAACACACAGCACCCAGGCATGTGGGTCACTTCACCACCACCAACAACACTCATCAACCACCAAAACTCACCACCACCAACACTCACTACCACTTACCTCCACCAACACTCGCCACCACCACACTCTCCTCCTCCATCACTCCCCACAACCAACACGCACCACCAACACCTTCCACCACTGACCACCACCAACACCACTCCCCATCACGACCAACACCACTCCCCATCACCACCAACACCACCACCAAATCCACTCCCTGATAGTTGAAGAGTAATAAGACAATTAGTTCACTGGAGTTTACTGAATCAGTATCAATAAAGAGGTAAGAGCACCGGACAGACTTGTGCTCTGTATGGTAAGACTGCCGAGTGAGCTACCACCAGACCTACCTACTGTATGTTGATATGGTTTACTACCCTGACGGTAGCTTGCCAGGTGTTGGACAATGCAACAATACAAAGTAATGGCAACAGAATATACATATACACATACTTACATACATACATACATACTCCTACTACTTTGCTGTCACTCGGAATCGAGTATGACGATCATCCAGCTATGATACAATAATACGAGTTATTAAGGATGTCACCTTTGTTGGTGAGTTTTGAGGTGACTAAAGAAGCTGATACGGGACCGGCAGTGATAACGGTGGTAACATTATGAGATGTACTTATTACTACCATGCTATTGTACTATTCCAGATGATACTAAATGTTACATAATACTTCCTTGAGATAAATGTATAGTTTATATCAGGTGCCTCAAAGAGAGCTCAGGCTCTCAACTGGCTCAGCCATGTTAATATTGTTATTATTATCCACTCTGTATCTGTATTTTTCTGGCAAAATAAAATGTTTCAATCAATCAATCAGATGTTGCACATGTGGAGGGCTACAACGAGTGTGGGAGGGGGGGTGGCAGCTTCTTTCTGGCGTTGGCACTTGTCTGCCTCGGTTTGCAGTCGGGCTAACTCGAAAGAATTGACACCTTCTCATGTGGTGCTTCTCCAAGCGTTACAATGTGGAGTAATCGACTCCCAGGTGAGGGGATCGATTTGGCACTTTTTCAGGTTTGTCTTAAGACTATCCTTATTCAGTAGAACGTCGCTTTAAAGTGATTCAGTTTAAGATTATTGACTTAAAGCTACTCCCACAATTAAGGACAAATGTTTTAATTTAAAGGG